CTCATCCGGCCGTGGCGCCTCATCCGGCCGGCCGTTGTGGCGCCTCATCCGGCCGACCGTTGTGGCGCCTCATCCGTCCGGCCGACCGTTGTGGCGCCTCATCCGGCCGACCGTTGTGGCGCCTCCTCCGCGTCCGGCCGGCCGTTGTGGCGCCTCGTCCGGCCGGCCGTTGTGGCGCCTCGTCCGGCCGGCCGTTGTGGCGCCTCGTCCGGCCGGCCGTTGTGGCGCCTCGTCCGGCCGGCCGTTGTGGCGCCTCGTCCGGCCGGCCGTTGTGGCGCCTCGTCCGGCCGGCCGTTGTGGCGCCTCGTCCGGCCGGCCGTTGTGGCGCCTCGTCCGGCCGGCCGTTGTGGCGCCTCGTCCGGGGCCGGCCGTCGTTGTGGCGCCTCGTCCGGCCGGCCGTTGTGGCGCCTCGTCCGGCCGGCCGTTGTGGCGCCTCGTCCGGCGTCCGGCCGGCCGCGGTGGCGCCTCGTCTGGCGTCCGGCCGGCCGGCCGCGGTGACGCCTCCCACCCGTTTCCGGCCGGCTGTTGTGGCGCGTCTGACGTGTCTGGCCGGCTCTTGTGGCAGAAGAATGGATTTTGCAGAACGCATGCAGAGAACTCGCTTCTCTGCGCCATTTATTTTTCCCAACTTGTTGCTGGGCAGATTAAAATGCATCAAAAACACACTACCTGCATTTCTACAGCATCTAAATTGATGTCTATTGAACCAAAACACAACGTTTTGCATTTAAAAAAAGTCCCTAACACATTGGATGAAAATGCAGAGATATGAACGTGTCCTATAGGAAATCATGTTAAATGGACTGTAGTGCGCTTCTGCAAAATGCTGCGGAAACCGCTTAGGTGTGAACCTAGACTGAATATGCTACACCCCCTTCCCTGTGACAGCACGTGTTCCTTCTCCCCGCAGACACTGGCACATATGCAAATGGATTGGCTTTGTCTGCACAGCCATGTAATTTATTCAGAGGGATCTGTTAGTAAATAAACTACTAGTCCCGTCTGCCACTGAGGTAGATGGACTTGTAGTTTCAGTGGACTGCGAATGTGCTGATCAGCTGCTCTTAGTCTATTGCAATTTCCTACAGTTCTGAAACTGACAGCACAGAGCTGGAGGAAGAGTGTAAAGGAGCCTGGCATTGCACCCACAATCCAGTAATCATGGGTGCAATTCTCTGCAGGCTCCTGAGATAAAAAATAAGTACACATTTTTTGGTCATGCAAAAATGTACATTTAATATTTTATTTTACATAAAGTTCCACTTCTTTAACCACTTGCCCTCCAGAGGATTTCCCCCCCCCCCCCCCCCTTACTGACTAGACTATTTTTTGCATTCTGGCACTGCGTTATTTTAACTGACAATTGCGCGGTCATGCATCGGTGCACCCAAATTAAATTTATGTCCATTTTTTCCAACAAATGGAGCTTTCTTTTGGTGGTATTTGATCGCCTGTGTGTTTTTTATTTTTTGCGCTGTAAAAAAAACCCTGACAATTTTGAGATTAAAAAACAATATTTTTGACTTTTTGCTGTTAAACATGTCCAGTAAAAAAATTTCAAACAAATTTCGGCATTGTGAAGATTCTCTCACTTCTCTACATCCCAGAATAGAGGTGTAGTTATCACCCAAACGTGAAGGTGCTGACAGCAACAATAACATTGTCAGAAATTCTACCACTTCCCCACTCTACTGGAGATGTTTTATCTGTTTTTTTTAAACCTTTTTTATTTTTTTACACATTTTTCTTTTTTACTATTTTCTATTTTAAATACTTTCATCAGAGTAATGCAATGTTACCATAGTAACATTATACTACTCTGGGGGGGGGATGATCAGGGATTTTTTTCTTTTATACAATTTGCATTGCAGGAGCAATGAGGATCATTGCTCCTGCAATGCAAAGCTTGCTTTGAACTGTCATGAATGACTGGCTGTGATTGGCTCCAGCTGGTCACATGGTACAGGGTTATTGTGGACCAATTATTATTGTGCAGCAATCACAGCTCAACAGGAACAGAAGCAAAACATTTATAAATCAGATTGATTCACGTAATCACCGGGTCCCAATTACCAGGATTCTCATTTTCTTTGTTTCTATTATAAAGTTTTGCAAACAGGTAATTTTTCTCCTTCACCGATGTGCGTTGATGAGGCTGCACTGATGGGCACTGATAGGCAGCCCTTATGGGCACTGATGAAGTGGCACGGATAGGCAGCACTGGTGAGCTCTGATAGGTGACACTGCTGGGCAGCACTGATGGATGGCAATGCTGGGCACAGGTGGGCAGCACTGCTGGGCACTGATCATCAGGGGACTGATGATCAGTGCCGAGAACTTCTTTGACAATCGGCAGTACTTTCCTAACGCTGTGACAGCAACTCAAAATGGTACTCAGTAGTTTGTATGGCCCCCACGTGCTTGTATGCATGCCTGACAACATCGGGGCATGCTCCTAATGAGACGACGGATGGTGTCCTGGGTTATTTCCTTCCAGATCTGGACCAGGGCATCACTGAGCTCCTGGACAGTCTGAAGTGAAACCTTGCAGCGTCAGATGGACCGAAACATGATATCCCAGAGGTGTTCTTTTGGATTTAGGTCAGGCGAGCATGGAGGCCATTCAATGGTATTAATTTCTTCATCCTGCAGGAACTGCCTGCATACTCTCACTGCATAAGGCCGGGCATTGTCGTGCACCAGGAGGAACCCAGGACCCACTGCACCAGCGTAGGGTCTGACAATGGGTCCAAGGATTTCATCCCAATACCTAATGGCAGTTAGGGTGCCATTGTCTATCCTGTAGAGGTCTGACCAAAACGGTCATGCTGAATGATATTACAGGCAGCATAACATTCTTCATGGCTTCTCCAGACCCTTTCACGTCTCTTATATGTGCTCAGGGTGAACCTGCTCTCATCTGTGAAAAGCACAGGGTGATAGTGGTGGACCTGCCAATTCTGGTGTTCAATGGCAAATGCCAATCGAGCTCCACTTGAGGGCGTCGGGCCCTCAGGCCACCCTCATGAAGTTTCTGATTGGTCAGAGACATTCACACCAGTGGCCTACTGGAGGTCATTTTGTAGGGCTCTGGCAATGCTCATCCTGTTCCTCCTTGCACAAAGGAGCAGATACTGGTCCTGCTGATGGGTTAAGGACCTTATATGGCCCTGTCCAGCTCTCCTAGAGTAACTGCTTGTCTCCTGGAATCTCCTCCATGCTCTTGAGACTGTGCTGGGAGACACAGCAAACCTTCTGGCAATGGCATTTGATGTGCCATCCTGGAGGAGTTGGACTGCCTGTGCAACCTCTGTAGGTTGACGTGATGCTATACTGATTAAAAAGTGTTCCTTTAATTTTTTTGAGCAGTGTATATAGGTGCAAACAGCCGCCTATAATTGTTCACTTATATTGAATAGAGAATTGTGCAGAGGGTATTTTGCTTATTGATATAAAGCTAGATGCAACATGTTTTTGTTAAAAATGTATTAATCATGTGTATGCAGTTAACGAAAACACATGGTAATGATGTGAAGTTTCTATTTTATACATTGGTCCAACTGGATCAAAAATATATTGTAACTAAAAATATCACTCTGTAATATACTTTCATGTGTTCTGGCACCATCTAGTGTCCAAATAGCAAATGTGCTGCTAGAGAAAAGTTGCAATAGCCTTATTAAAAGACTCCTGTCATGAAAAATCATGGAGGCTGCTATTATTATTATTTCTTGCTTTAATCACTTGATCTCAGGAAGGTTTTTCCCCCTTTGTGACCAGGGCATATTTTTTCCTATTCAGCACTGTGCTGTTTAACTGGCAGTTGCTTGGTCATGCAACTCTGCACGCAAATTAAATTTATACCTATTTTTTCACTCAAGTAGAGCTTTTTTTTGGTGGTATTTGATCACCACTGGGTTTTGATTGTTATATAATCGAAACTATCAAATTTTGGAAGAAAAAAAACATGTTTTCTTAGTTTCTGTTCTAAAATTTCTTGGTAAAAAAATTATTGTATATTATTTACTCTGTGTGAAAGTTGGAGACTACAAACTGTGTGTGTGTGTGTATATATATATATATATATATATATATGTGTGTGTATGTATATGTGTGTATATATATATATATATATATATATATATATATATATATATATATATATATAATAATTTGAAAATTGATCAGACCTGATGTACTGATGGCCTATCTCATTTCTTGAGGCCCTAAAATGCCAGGACAATAAAAATACCCCCAAATAACCCTCTTTGGAAAGTAAACAGTCCAAAGTATTTAGTAAGAGGCAAAAGTTTTTTGAAGTTGTACATTTTTTTTTATAATTTTTTTTTGGAAAATGAAGAAATTAAAATAGTTTTTTCTTTTTTCTTCACAATTTTTTTCAGTGATCAGGCATACTAAGTGGTAATGGGGCCCCAAATCAATTATAGGAATTAGGCTCTGTGAGCACTGTAATTAGTGTTCATCACCACAATATTGATGTAGGAGGAGCCACCCCTGATGCCCTTGGTAGAAGTCTTGCTTTGCCCACTGCTGCTGTTTTCCCCACTCCGGATAAATGAATTTGTGTCAGGACATAGACACTTGCTTTCACTGCCTCTTTCCTGCTACCATTCATTCATCTGGTTGGCCAGTGACAGGAGTGGGTAGCATGCAGTTCATGTGGGACTCAGTTTGTTGGACCTTATTTTAAGTCATTCACCTCAAACAAGTAGGCAGATCTGAAAGGTTGAAAAAAAACATTTGAAGTCCTCATTTGCTAGCTTATTCTGGGATAATGCTTTGAAGTTTAGAACAAAGTGGGTCTGCATGACAGTCAGGCAACTAGCATTATCAGAAGAGATCAGTTATGGTAACTTTTATTTTTCTCCCATGACAGGTTTCCTATTAAGAGTAAATTTAGTTTTAGTGAAGTTGTCCTTTTTTTAATGTATAGACTAAAAGTTCAATACATTTTTGTTTTGCAGACTGATCTACTCCAAATGGGGGATGAAAAAGAAAATTGGAAGGTAAAAACACTGGATGAGATATTGCAAGAAAAAAAGAGGCGGAAAGAACAAGAAGAGAAAGCAGATTCTAAACATAGAAATGTAAGCCTTTTGCCCTGTGCTTCATAAAACAGATCTGAATGATGTCTGACAACAGATGTTCAATCAGGGCTGGGCAGGCTCCACAAGTCGTGTAGTTCATGTGCTACAAGACTCAATTTAAATAGAAACCCTTTTCACTACATCCCTGCTCTGCTGAATTGTTTCCAGTACTAACTTAAACTCCAGGAAAAACCTACACCAAAACTCCTCCCAAAATTTCCTCATACGGCATGATGGTAAGTGAGCAGTCTTACTGTTCTTACAGATGGTACAGCAGCCCTCAGTCATAAAAATTTGTTCCCTGCCATGCTTTGCTCTGTGGAGGGCTGCAGTTTACAGGCAAAGAGCAACTTGCTGGCAGTGTTGCATTACAGCAGGGCACATATTTTTACTAAGCCTGTGGGTTGCAGCACCATCTAGGGGTGTTGAATTAGAATTCAAAAAGTTTTTCTGCCAGCAGTGGTCCAAATCAGATGTATCTGTGATGGCTGAGTTCATTCACTTTGCAGTCCCCTTCTTACATCATTGCCCTCAGTCCCCCAGCATATCGCATCCCCGCCTTCACATTACAGCTTCCCTTTACATCAGCATTCTTCAACCCCTCCCCCCTTTTTCCCTTTACATCACAGTCCCCCTTCACATCGTTATCCCCCTCTTTCACTATTTATCCCTTAGCCCCCCTTTACAGCACATTACCCATTCACAGCAATATCCTTGGCCCCCTTTACAACCCAATAACCCATTCACAGCATTGTTCTTAGCTCCCCTCTTCACATCACAAACCCCCACCTTTACAGCATTGTCCATAGCTCCAATTTACATAATTTTCTTCCTTCAAATCTTGTCTTTCAGACCCCTTTTACATCACATTCCCTCTTCACAGCATTGTCCTCAGTGCCCCCTTCACATCACCCCCCCCCCCCCCTTCACATCACCCTTCCATTTTCCCCTCGCACAGCACTGCTTTAACCACCTTCACATCGCCCTCCCCCTTTCCTTTTCCAACTGTGTCTTAGCCTACCTCATGATACAACACACCCACCCCCCCCCCCCCAACCCAACCCAGCGCAGTTCTGGACGGATGGTGAGAACTGCCCAACTTCTTATATTGGCAGGCTGATGATTGTTTGCTCGGACCTCCCCGCATCCTTTAAATCAGTATATTGGAGTTTTAAAGAATTGCGACATTTTGCAAACCAAGAGTGCAGGCACCATGTCTGCCTCCTCTTTCCTAGGCCGCGATACAAACTTTGAAAAATGCACAGGCGCATTTTAGATACATTTTATTCTCCGCCTAAAAGTAGTTTTCTGCTCTTAATTGCACTTTATAGAAAAAATGTAGCCTTCCTTCCCCCCCCCCCCCCCCCCCCCCCCCCCCCCCCCCCCATAAACACACCTTCCAAATTATGTCTGTTTTCTCAATGGAACAAGTGTTCTTGGTCTCATAAAAAGGTACTTCTGAGATCATTATGCTGTAATTGGAAGAGTAGGAAGAATACATATAGCACTTTTTTTTGTGATGTCAGGGCATGTGAAATATAAGGATGCAGTTCCAGATCCTTAAAAAAGAAAAAAAAAAAAAAACAGTAAGGGGTGAAAAGGACTATGGGGTTGATTTACTAAAACTGGAAAGTGCAAAATCTGGTGCAGCTCTGCACGGAAACCAATCGGCTTCCAGGTTTTATTGTCAAAGATTAACTGAACAAGCTGAAGTTAAAAACTGATTGGCTACCATACACAGCTACACCAGATTTTGCACTCTCCAGTTTTAGCAAATCAACCCCAATACATTTATAAGTTTGAGTCTTAAAGGGGATCACCCAAAAGGGGAACTGCCGCTTTAAGCACTCGTCACCTGCTCCCCTTTAAGAATTGGCATCTTTGGGGAGCGGGCGCCCCAGTTTTGACAGGAATCCCACTTCCACCCCAACCATTTAGGCAATCAGAAGTGAAATTCAGCCCCCCCCCAGTCTTCTAGGATATGTGACAGGTCCCAGAAAGCTACGGGACCATTCACAATGCGCAGCGCTGTTCACACATGCACAGTGGGCACCCGGCTGTGAAACTGCAAGTTGTCACAGCCAGGTGCTCACACATAAGATGCCAGGGACATAAGACGGCAGGTGAACCCAGCTGGGATGAGCATACCGCTTGATCGTGGGACAGGTGAGGGGCTGTTTTTCATTTATAGCAAAGTTCTGGTCATTCTGGAGTTTGTGAACACAGCTCTATTTAAAAACATAGTTTTTCTTAAAATTCCTATCTGAATTTCCATCGGTAGGCTGATGATCGAGATTCCAAGAGAGATTCCTTGGAAGAAGGAGAGCTGAGAGATCACAGGATGGAGATCACTATTCGAAATTCACCTTACAGACGAGAGGACTCAATGGAAGACAGGTATGTTTTCTATGCCATTCTCTGTGTTGAGTGAAGAAGAACCTCATGCCAAACACAAATTAGTACCAATTACAAAAAGCTGTTTGTCCCTTTGGCTAAGATTTGGGCCCGATGCACATATTTTTCTGCATTGATCACCTAGTAAAGATCATACTGGCATTTTACCTACCTTCTCCAATGCTGTCTTTGACTTCCTTCTTGGTCCAGCACTGCCCCTCCTCTTTAGGGCAGAATAACAGTCATGTAATTCTGCCTATTTCCTGTGAGCCCAGCTTGTCAATTACATGCCCCCCAAAGGGGCACACCATGAAGTAGGCTGGCCTCACAGCAGCTTAGTCCTGGATGAATGCCCACCACCTATTGCTGTTGGCGGTAGAAGAGGAAATGTCAATGATGTCATCAGCTCCAGGTAAGTCCGTTTCTATACTACACTAGGAAGGGATGGTAGAGTGGAGCCTTTTAAACTCTTTGTGTCCTGACCCAGTTGTTTGGCTTGTAATCTCTTGGTTTTAGGCTGTTGAATCATCAAGAGAGGATTTTTATTTAAATATATTAAATTCTTCCAGAGGTGAGGAAGATGATTCACTCGCTATTAAACCACCACAACAAGTTTCCCGGAAAGAAAAATCCCACCACAGAAAAGATGAGAAGAGAAAAGAGAAACGCCGACACCGCAGCCACTCTGCTGAAGGAGCTGGAGGTTGTTGTAGTTTTAATAACTTACTGGTTTTCTGGAATGTGGAGGGGTTTAATAAGTTTGCGTATGTACAGCCAAATGTTTTGCTTCAGTTTTTGATGGCAAAAGGATTAAAACCCTACCAGTCAATTTTCTGCTGTCTCTGTCTCACTGGGGAGATGTCTCTCCACTTCCTGTTTTGATGATGCCACAGGAAGTGAGAGGAAATTTCTTCAAAGTAAAAAAGGATGCCACAGTATTTCCCCTCACCTCGTTTTCCTGTAACGGCTCTAAAATTTTTCATCTATCATCACTCTGTACCAGATATAGTGGTCATCCGGACAAACAGAGATTGATCCTACCTAATGGGGACACAGACAGTCATAAAAACTCCAATCCACAGATAACATTGCTTAAATTAGAATACCATATGCCACATTTCCTGGTTGTTGGTTGTGTAAATCTACTAGAAACTCAAATAGTTCTCAAAACTTAGAAGAGCAAATCACATTCAATCAGTATAGTGCTGAATAGAAAGAAAAAACTGTCTGCTTGTGAAAGTGGACAAGAAGAATGTATCACTGTCTACTGGCACTATTGTCTTTAGCTCAATCTCCTGGGGTACTTTTCTACCACTAAGCGGTTATGTAGAGCAACTTTCATGGGATTTAGGGATCTGATCCTCCCAATGGGATGAAGTATTTTGAGCTGATGTGTTCCGGCATACATATCTGGTGATATCCAACTTCCCTACATAGGAGTCTTTTTTCTGATGATAATTTGCATGTTTGGACATTTTGGATACTGCTACACTGATAACTGCTATGTCTGTCTGACTGCTATGTTTGCAACTGTATGCTACTGGGATCCAACTACTTGTTGCAATTTCAACAAGTCATTTATTCCCCCATGTTGCAGAAGGCTTGATTGCTTTTTATTATTAAGGGCGGTTTCATTCCTTTAATGAGCGTTTCACCATGCTGATGTACACTGATCAGCCATAACATGACCGCTGATCCTGTTAAAGTGACATCTGAAAGTGGGTGGCTTATATTAGGCAGCAAGTAAACATGTTGGCCTTGAAGTTGATGTGCTGAAAGGAGAAAAAAAATTAACATCATAGTTTGTTGTGTATGGGGCTGGTAACCACTGAAATGTCAGGGTGCCAATGCTGACCCATATCTACAGCCAGAAGTGCCTACGTTGGGCATGTGAGCATCATAACTAGGCCAGAGAACTGTGGAAGAAGGAGGCCTGGTCTGATGAATTATGTTTTCTTTTACAATATGGGAAAGGCTGGGTGCGTGTGCTTCGCTTACCTGGAGAAGAGAGAGCACCAGGATGCACTGTGGGCAGAAGGCAAGCCGGGCTGTATACAGTGTGATGCTTTGGGCAATGTTTTGCTGGGAAACTTTGCATGTTGCTATTCATGTGGAAGTAACTTTGAAATGTACCACCTACCTAAACATTGTTGCTGACCAATTGCCCCTTCCTGGAAAAGCTATTCCCTGAACAGAATAATGTGACCTGCCACACTGAAAAAAACGATTCAATAATGTTTTGATAGACACAACAATGAGTTTGAGGTGCTTGGCCTCCAAATTCTCCAGATCTCAATTCAATTGAGGATCTGTGGCATGTGCTGATAAAAAAAAGTCAGATCACAGAGGCCCCACCTTGAAACTTACTTATATTCTGATTATTTTTTTAACTTTTCTTTGAAAATATCTTATGTGGATTAACGTCCTTTGTTGTAAATTAACCACTTCCCCACCACCCTATAGTATAACTACTGCTACAGGGATGCAGGGCTGCGCAAAATCACGTCTATATATACACGTGATTTGCATTTCCGGATTGGGGGGGGGTTGCCACCCTACCCACGTCGCCATTGGAGGCTACAGATGTCAATCACTGGGTCCCGGCCGTAGATTCCCTGCCGACACCGGGTATCACAGAGTAACACTGACAGGGGAGAGGCCTGTGTGTAACAACACAGATCTCTTTCCTGCCAGCAAGAACATGCACAGCACAGAAATACACACACACAGCACAATATGTAAAACAGTACAAGGTTAACCCTTTGATCGCCCCAGATGTTAACCCCTTCCTGCCCAGTGTCATTAGTACAGTATCAGTGCTTTTTATTAGCACTGATCACTGTATTAGTGTCATTTGGATGTCAGTGGCAGTTAGTTCTGAATCCGTGAGAATACCCACTGTAGTCCCGCAGTCGCTGATTGCCGCCATTACTAGTATAAAAAAAAAATTCCAATGTATATACCGCCATTTGTAGATGCTATAACTTTCGCGTAAGCCAATTAATTTATATGTATTGGGATTTCTTTTTAGCAAAGACATGTAGCAGAGTACATTTTGGCTTAAATTTATGATGAAATTAGATTTTTTTAAATTTTTTTATTGGATATGTTTTATAGCAAAAAGTCAAAAATACAGGGTTTTTATTTATTTTATTTTTTTTCTTCAAAATTGGCATTTTTTTGTTTATAGTTCAAAAAATTAAGACTGCACAGGTGATGAAAGAAAGCTCTATTTGTGAGGAAAAAAAGGACGTAAATTTAATTTAAGTGTAGTATTGCATGACTGTGCAACTGTCAGTTAAAGTAATACAGCACCATATCGCTAAAAATGGCCTGGTTTAGGAAGGGGTGTAAATCCTTTGGCGAGCAAGTGGTTAATAGTGTACTTGGATAAGAAACGATGTGTGCTGGTCTTATATTATGTTATTTTGAAAAAATGTAATTTCTTTTTCCCGCCATTCAGTGGAGATTTCACTATAAAGATTGAGTGTGCTTTGTTCTTCAAAGTTTTGAGGAATATTTGATTTTTCTATTTGATTTATGTATGCTCATCAGTTTTTCCCAGGAGATGTGGCATATGATATTCTATTTTAAGTTAATTTAATTTTGGGTTTTTTTATAGTTACTTTATACTGCAGTATTTTTGTTTGTTGTTGGTATATTTTATCAATTGAGGACACCTGAAGTTCGTTTTTTATATTGCTATCTGTTCTAATAAATGTTTTAGAGACAGAATGTTTTCCTCTGTGTTTTTCCCCTTGTGAGAAGTTTCATGTATTTTGTTGATTTTATTTATTTATTTTTATTTGATTTGGACTGACTTTTCATGGGGTTATTTACCTCCCAATTTGCTGGATTTTATTCCTGGCTAGGTCCCCAGAGAGGATGTTTTCTCTCCCTTTGTGTCCTGCCGACAAGACGAGAAAGAATGGGGACACAGGGGCTCCCTAAAACACAAAACATAATAGTATATATTTGTGGTAAACTGTGTGATTGCCAAATAAGTTAAAGCTACCAGAAAGGGGAAGTTTAAAGTGTTATTAAACCCACAACCATAAAATCAGTCTGTACATGCAGAAAAGCATGCTTGTTAGGTGATCGGAAGTGGATGTTCTCCACCCCTCAATGTCACAGATCCCATAAATAAGACAGTGGGACCATCCATTCACAATGCGCAGTGGGCACCCAGCTGTGAAGCCAAAAGCTATCACAGCCGGGTGCCCACAGTTAAGATGCTGGCGCCGGGGACAGAGGATGGCCGGTGAGCACACCGCTGGATTGAGGGGCAAATGAGTGGCTGTTTTTTTTAAAAGTCAGCAGCTACAGTTTTTGAAGCTGTTGACTTTTAATTTTTTCACAGGAGACTGGAGCTCTGCTTTAACAGCAAGCTTTACAGCATGAAAAAAAATAATGTAGTGTACATTGGCCTAAGCCTGTTTTTTTGCAGGAGATATGTTTTTTAGATGAATCTGTACTTGCGCTGTAATCAAGAGATTGACACATGTAACGTAAGTCTTTGGTCATTGGACAGGTAAATATGGTCGGGTGAAGGAAAAGGACAGAGAGCATGAGAGGAGGAAAAGACACAGAGAGGAACAAGATAAAGTACGCCGTGAGCGGGAGAGACAGAAGAGAAGAGAGCTGGCTAGAGAGCATTCCAGAAGAGAAAGGTGAGGGAGACTGGGCTGCTATGGGGACAAAACAGATGATATTAAAGTGTATGTCAGGGCAAAATGACAAAAAAAAAACGCATTGAGTTGTAGGGAAAACATTACGAAACCCTTGCAAAATGTAAAAATGCCTTAATTAAAATTGTGAATAACTTCACCTTGCTTTGAACCTAAAATAAATAAATAAATTGCAGAGTAAAATTATCTTTTCGTATCCACATCTCCAAAATATACAGCTTTAAAATGTGAATATGGCATAATTGGTTAAGGATCTTATGGCACTTTGAACTCCTGCTGCAATTTTTGTGTGAAGTCTCAAGCTTCTTATAACTTTAGAGCCTGCTGTGGATAGATACCAGCTTCCCTTCCATGGCACTGATATACTTGTGTGTTTCTTTCTGTAGAGGAATAATTGAATGTATAGCAGTAGCATTGGCAAGCATCAAAGCCAAGTTCAATTTAAATCTGGTATGTGTTTGTTGTAGGATGTCAAGATATAAATCCCTGATGAATCCTGGAATATTTGAAGCCGATGGTGCTAAAATTTGTCTCTAATAGTTTAAATGAGGTATATTTCACAAACACGTACCCAGGACTCAATAAAGGTCGCTTAACATAAATATAGTCCACACATGCTCCTGTCTCCTACTGTTCTCTGTGCTCCCCCATAGAAAGTCCATTCAGATGCGGGCTCTACCCTAAGATAAACTCCTTACGTCTATAGACACACACAGTGCTGCTTGGCCCCATGCCTTTTGTCACAGGATTTGACTGACAGCAGCTGGAGCCAACGGCTCCCACTGCCTCAGCAAAGCCTGTGAGACCAAGAAGTGATGGGAGAGTGCTGCTACAGATGGGCACAGTGCTGGATCGAATGAGGACTCGAGATGTGTAATGAGGGGTGATGGGGTGGTACTGTTACCTAAACATTTTTTTCTTTTATTGCAGGGAATGCATTAAGGTAAACATTTATAGGCTTTAGAACCATTTTACAGCCCAGCTGTATCATTGGAATGGAAAAAATACTCTTTTTACTTTAAACCCATGGTCATGGAACTTTTGGATCTTAATCATTCACTCTTTCTTCTGTTTTGTTCTGGTGGGGTCATTTCTTGAATGTTCACATCACTGTCCATTGGTGTATTCTGTCAGGAGCCAGAAGAGGAGTGATATCGTCTCAAGGGGACTCTAGTGGTATAAATGCTATACCATCTTTATTTATTTTTTTTTTACCTAAACTAAGATTTTGCTATGGCCTGTCTAACCCAACTTTTTTGCTAGAATCAACCAATTCGGTGGATGCTTATATTATTAGAAAATGACAATTCAGGGGAACAAGTACACAAGAAGTACTATTCTGTGCACTCCAAGGCCCAGAATTCAATGTACCTGAAGACACTTGCTCCCACCCACTCCTCTTTTATTTCTGCCTACCTGTTAGTTGATTGGTGGATATGCTGAGAAGATTTAGCAGAATTCACACTCCCCATTCTATGTATCTCAGCAGCACTGAGTGAAAGAGTGATACACCTCTCTCTGTATATGTTCCCATCCACTTGTTAGCTGACTGAATTTCCTCAAGGTCGTTGAATACTGTGACTCGACACGATAGTAGTTCCTGTTTACTCGTTCTTCCACAGGAGCCAAATGGCCAGTTAGTAACGATGTAAGTAGCCACCATTTTTTGGTTGAATTTAGGGGGGGGGGGGGGGAGTTAGTATTTGTAAAGGCAGAAGGTTTTTTTTACTTTTACTGCATTACTTACATACATACATACATACACACATACCTGAGCCTTATCTCAATCCAGCAATGTGCAGGAGAGCTAAGGCTCTCTCGATTCTCTCATTCTTCATTGGCTCAGATACAGCAGTAGGAGCCATTGGCTCTCACTGCTGTCAATTAGAGCCATTAAGCAGGGAGTGGGGGTCTTATGGACACAGAGCAGGGCTTTGAAGCGAGCATGCGCAAAAGCCCCAAAAGCAAGTGGCTTACTGTGGGGGCACTCAGTGGAAGGGAGGAGCCGGGAACATCGGCAAGGACCCGAGAAGAGGAGGATCGAGTCTGCTTTGTGCAAAACAATTGCACAGAGCAGGTAAGTATGAGGTTTGTTATTTTAATAAAAAAATAAATAAAAACCTTTTAGAATCACTTTAAATTTGGACGGACTGTGGCAAAATCATAGTTTGTGTGGTAAAAAAATATAGCATTTATAATACAGCTTTATTAAGTGTGCTATCCTCATTACAAATTAGTTTTTTTAAAATAAAGGTGCAGTTGTCCTTTAACTATTCAAAGTGGGATCATAATTGTACTTGCATTTTTTGTGGCTTAACAACATTCTTGCTTTACCAGTATATGATGTAGGCAGCAACAATTCAGTGCAATTTGTACTCCAAACTCTCCATAGGATTAAACGGAGATTGCGGCGTGTTTGTGCGGGACTCAGTGGAGAAGATTGTGAGAATAGGTTGTGCAGCGATGAGGAGGCTACACAGCCAAGGTCCCAGCGGAACGGGGACAGGTGAGTATATGATGTGGAGGCGGGAAGTAGGGTGCACCCCTAGTAAGTGAAATTGCTCTGCTCTAAAAGTGCAGTTACACTTTAAAGGTTCTGAAATAAACATATCTGCAACAACATATTTTTCTCTTCCTAACGAGTCAATGTCAGATCAAAGGGTTTTGTATTTTTAAATCGGCATCATATAAAGGGGTAAACAGAACATTGTACATTTTGCTACAGAAAGTCACAGGTTAGTGAACATGTTTCTCTTTCTTAAGAAAAATATTTACTGAGGGAAATGTGTACACAGCAATTCTTGATCTCCTTCTGAAAATGTTAGTTACCTGAATTTCTTTGATATCAGTATTTTGAGTCCCACCCAGAAGAAGCATGCTGCATTTTTTAGTTGGTGCTTCTGATCTGCTACTAGTTTTGAGGTTGTGACTTGTAGTACTGTGGATAATAAATCAGCATTCTAGCTTTTCCCTAGCATTTTCCAAAAGAGAAGACTTTAATGGCATCTGCATAGGTTCCTCAGTACAAATTTCCTTTTAATGGATAATTCTCAACATGTTATATGTTATGCCCATATTTATGGTGTAACATGTTGAGCATCCACCACCTCATGCCCTGTTCAGCCCCTTCTTGTGACAACAGGTGGGGATCCTCTCCCCACACCTGCTGTCACAATTTAAAATCAGCAAAGCCGTTTGGGCAGAGCTGAGTTCTGTGAATGAATGCCTACAAGTACCGTTGGCTACTGCGGCCATTTTTTAAATGCAAAAAAGTGCTTTTTGTGAACTTCTCGGGTTCATAAGGTGAACTTTTCTTTTAAGTCTCATAACCAAAAATCAATCAATCAATCAGTAACCTGAAGAAGAACTTCTCTCTAAAGGAGAAGTATGGCCAAAGCTTTTTTGGCTATACTTATCTTCTTGGTCACAGAAGTGCACTTTTTTTCTGCACTCCTGTGACTGAGATTCAGCTGACAGCGGGCTAAAGGCTGCTGTTGGCTGATGTCACAGAACTGGTCCAGGCTCTGCAAGGATCCCAACTTTACTTTTGGGATCCATCCAGATGCCTGACCGGCAGCTGGCACAGCCTCTTGGCACGCCCACTGATAGCCTGAGACAGCTGCTCCAGTGGGCAGTGATCGCTCAGTTTTCCTTAGCACTGGCAGGGAACAGCTTCAGCATTGGATCAGTGCTGCAGCCACATAGGTGAGTGTGTCTGTGGTGTTGTGTGTGTGTATATATATGTATATGTGTATATATATATATATATATATATATATCTCTCTCCATTAATCTGGGAACTCCTTTATTAAAGAGCTCGCAGATAAGGTATTATCGGAAAGATGACTTAATGATTTCAATTACTGTAAAACATTTACCTTAAAAAGTATCCTATTTCAGCTTATTGTCCGTGCCACTGTGCGATCTATATATGGCTTGCATTTTCTGTGTTTAGTATTTTCTGGTACTGTTCAGTGCAGTATAATGTTTACCTTCTTGTCTAACTCTGAGTCACATTTTTTAGAAGTTTTTTTTAATTTTTTTTTTTTTTTTTTTTTAGGGATCGATTGGAACAACTGGAACGGAATAGAGAACGTGAAAGGAAAATAAGAGAACAACAGAAAGAACAGAGAGAGGCAAAAGAGAGAGAGAGGAGAGCAGAGGAGAGACGTAAAGAGCGGGAGGCAAGGAGAGAAGGTACTTGTCTGTTAAGTTTGTATATTGGGAAAGACTGAGTTTTTAAAGAATGATTTTCTATGTTATTCCCTAATGTTCCAAAGGCCTTGCTTCTCAAATTTATGGTCTAATTTCCTTTTCATAATGCAGGCTGTTGGGAATCAATGTCAAACTGATGTAAGGGCATATGGAAATGCTTCTGTTCCCAAGTCTATGAATTTTTGTATGTAGGTTTCACACTTGTTTATGCAGGTTCCTAATAGTTTCATAATCTCACACATATCTATCTTTCGACATCCAGCAGCAAATATATCATCAATCTACCCTCAGATCAGAATACAGTTGCCTAAGGAACACAGGTTCAGAAAAGCTCTGAGATGTATTTGTTATATTGTTGTCTACAGGAAAAATGGACACCGACTAACAAAAAGTGTCCCACATCTATCATTCTTTAGCTTCCTGCTAGTCTCCAAGGAGAATGAATGTGTTCTATCCACGGAGAAAAGCAAGCACATTTCTTTTGAATTTTATCAAGGTCATTTTTTCTTTTAACAAAATTCTCCAGGTGCTTCAGAGCTAGAAGATCTCACTGTGCAGATTTCCAGATTATATGATCCTTGGAATAGCCATGGAGGCCCTACCTGGACTCCACTGTGAGAAAGGTGCAGGGCTGACCTGTAATGTGACCTGTGGGTACTGGGATCTGCTAATAGCATGCTGCAGGCATTGTATGTGGCAAACGAGTTGGCTGCAGAGCTCTTTTGAGGTCCAGGGCTGTGATTCATATGGTATCTGGCATTTAATGTGTTAGCGCTACAACTACAGCAGTATAACCCATACGGCTCAGTATTCTTCTGACGCTGTATCACTTAATAAACACCAAGAACATGTTGTTATGGTATGTCAAAAATCGTATTATTTTGACAACGTCCTGGGCTGCCACTAATAGATGATTTATAATTTTTAAAGTGAGAACGCCTGAACCACTACCATAATTTTTTATCACTTTTTTTTTTCCCCCCCTGCTGTGTTATTATAGGCAGTTAAAAGCATTCCAAATTATGGCCATCCCTTCTGACAGATGACAGCTTGGAGCACTTATTCAATCACTTGCCTCTATGTATTTTGTGATGTACCCACAGTTACATATTTGAAAAATATGAGGGCTTTGTAGGAAGAACATGTAGGTTCATAGCACACTCCTATTGTCATTTCTGAAATGGCAAACTATATTTTCAATATGTGGAGCAGTGTAGCTCTTCTGCATAAGCATTCTGTCTGTGTATTTTGGAGAAAAATCTCTCAGAAGTACTAGTTATAAAACCTAACCCTTGCTTACTTAGGGAAGACACTGTCCCCTTGCCTGTTTAGGGCACAGTAACAGGGTTTATGTACATCCACCCTTCAACCACATTATACTCCTCTCTTGCATTCACCTGCTGATCCTTCTTGCTCAGGACCAAGTACTTTCATGTGATGGATGGGATTATGTCACCACTCTTTCTATGTTCCAACAAATAAAAATTGCTCTACTATGTGGTTTATGAAAATAGGAACAAAATTAGGTCAAATCTACACCCACTATATGAGCTAACTGGAATCGTATGGAAAATGAAAATTGGTGGTACAATGCTCTGCCAGTGCCTTTTATACCGACTGACAGATTGTATCTGGGCAAAGACAAGTACAGCTTTGATGCTCACTTATATTACAGAATTTAACCTGGTAACTAGTATATTAGGTGGTGTAATTGGAAGGAGATAGCATCTAAATATTTAAACTGTAGTCTTCAATGAATGTCTACTGATTACTTTATGAAAACCATTAAGGTATGTTGGGACTTCCTTATCTTGGTAGTTCCTCATCACCCAAAGGAGAGACTTTTTGTGGCTTGTATACAGTTGTGTTTGTTGCAAGGTAAACGCCTCTTCTACATTCTTTAAAGCATGTAACTTCCTAGTCTTACATCTGCCAGTTTAGTTATACCAACCTGTACAACATACCTTCCAGGGCCGGAAGGATCTGCGCTTCCTCAGCGCAGGAAGCCAGGGCTCTTGCAAGAGGCTGAGAAAATGCAGTACGATGTACACTATACAGATTCAAGAATAACTGTAGAGTTTAGCACTCAAAGTAAGTTCTGGCTTTCTAAACCTATTTTTTACAGCAATAACCTTAAACAGCTCCTGCAATGTATTGTACCTTTTATATAGAACTCCTCCAGTCAAATAAATAAACACGCAGAGCCTTGCCAAAGTATTCACAGTAATATTGATCCATTATTATATAACTTGTATTACTTGTTTTCTGAGTAATGCATTTGTAAACTGAAATTTTACTCTCCGTGGTATCTTTTATTTTGAATATTCAAAGCGTTGAAAGATTTTCATATGATATTGTTTTCTAATAGAGAAAAAAAAAATCTTTATTAAAAAAAACTTAGATGTCATTTGCATAAAGGCCTATTAACACTATTTTGAATAGGCTGCCAAACCTCTGCAGCACACCAAAAGTGCACTTGAAGCAATGTTTATTTGTTTTTTGTTTTTTTTCTTTTTAATCCGATACTTTTTTTGATTGAAGTTTTAGAAATAGTAAAAATGCGTCAAAACAAACAACCTATTATTACAGCAATACAGTTGCAGTGGCTCAGTAGAATTATGCAGCAAATATGGAAAAGATCTATTGTATAGTAGTAGCGTAATGGCATACATGCAGCGTTACAGATGTTTTCATAGACGAAAAATATATGACCCATCGACCTATAATCATAAGTACAAGATTGAAGCAATTTTTTTTAATGTAGTACATCACTTGCATTGTAGGGCACCACAGTGGGTTGTATTGTGCTATTATGGCACCGTAAATATACTGTGCTTAATGCACTTCTTTCAGTAACGGTCCATAAAAGCACACATTGCTGAAAAACACTGATTTGAGTAGGCCCTTAGTTGTGGAATATCTTGAGCCTATACAGTTAAAAAATAGTTGCCTAACAAGGCCCTGTCCTCCCTTGGTTAATTGTGTAAGTTAACCGTTTAGAAATCTGCATGCCACAGCATTAAGCTAACTATATACTTTTTCAAAACATCACTACATATCATTAAAAAGAAGTCATTGAGCTCCAGTCAAGTGATGTAAGTAGTCTCCTCCAGTGGTCAGACTACAACATTGTAACTTTGTAGCAAGTCAAGTAAAATGAGGTAGCAGTGGCTGATCTGTGCCAGACATTTGTGAACATAACTGCACAGGCACCAGGTTTGACATGATTGTGTCATTCCAAAGCCAACATCTCCGTGCACGAAGTAGATTTTATCCAAGGATGATGCCTGAAAAAAGATGGCTTCATGTTTCTAGTGAAGGAAAGCAGATGATGGCATTTGGGTTGATTTGATAAGGGGGTAGAAATTCCTTACTCAATAAAGTGTAGATTCGCTTCAGTTATCTCATTGTGTCAAAAGGAGATTTCTGCACATGATTGGATATGCAGAATGAACACTACTATAATTTATGTGAAGATTTTCAACTTCTTTAGTAAATCAGCCTCAAACGCAGGGGGAAAACTGTGATCTCTGTGAGAGGTAATAAGTGCCTGGAAGTGTTACTTACTGTGTGTGCATATGAGCGTGAGAAAATATCTCAGTAGAACATTAACAAGTAAATATAATTCAAATGTTTACATTAAAAAAGCCAGCAAAACAGTATCCTAGTCCTAGTTTTTAAATGCCCCTGGCAGTCACTCTTGTCTGAATTAACAGAGTAAAAGCTATATTGAGCATGCAAGATGCTGCTTGGAAAACGTTGCATAAAGAATTCAGTAGTAGCAGTCTCCATATTTCTCTCCAAAAAGCATTGGTGTAGGTAGTACAAATTATAAACACCGTGGTTTCAAGGAGCACATGTGTGCCCACAGGGGGTACTCCTATATTGGCTTTTGCGCACAATGTAATGAAGTTAAGAAACCTTGTAAGTGGTGATTAAATACTTGAACAAATGGCTTACTTCACATTTTTTTCCAATATAAAATGATGCATTTTTATACCTGTTAAAAAAAAAAACAATTACACATTACTTCTGAGCATGAATACTTTGGAAAAAACACAGAGAACAACATTTCAGGTTAGAATTTGATCAGAATATTTCTGCAAGGCACTGTGTGTATTCAAGCCTCATGCGATAATTTTCAGCCATGCTTAGCAACCTGTCTATGGCAAGCATATCAGTGAAAAATTGAAATGAACCTTGCACTAATAGTGTCTCCTCTGTCATGTTATGGGAAAAATGGCAAAGCAATTAAAAGTTAAAAGGAAAGTGTTTCTGGTGGATGTCATTGTGCTCATGGCAGGGTAGTGGCATAGTTTGCAGGGTCTGGAAAGAGTTTTCACCCTCGTTATGCAATGCAGCCAACAGGGGTGTGAGATCACAAGAGAATGTTTAATACTTTACAAATAATTTTTGCAGATGAAATCATTCCTTAACGGTGTATTTAGCAGTTTAGCTGGAGTTGCTCTTGATCCCTTCCTCTGCCAGACACAACGGGGTTTATTTACTAAAGCTGGAGAGTCCAAAATCAGACTCCCTTCTGCATAGAAACCAATCAGCTTCCAGGTTTCATTGCCAAAGCTTCATTGAACAAGCTGAGGTTAGAAGCTGATTGGTTTCTATGCAGAAGGGAGTCTGATTTTGGACACTCCAGCTTTAGTAAATCCCAACATGTCCATACTTGGGCAGAAATAAATGTGTGATGTTGTCTGGTAATCTTAATAAAATGGGTGTGGGTAACACTCAGCTATTTCTTAACCCACAAAGTTGACTAACTTGTCACTTTTCTGATAAAAACAGTAGTCCTGGTCTACACAAATTGTTGTAGTCAAGTGACTAGTCAGCCCAGCAAACTATGATGATTGCATTTTTCGACTTGTAGGGGTTGATTTACTAAAACTAGAGAGTGCAAAATCTGGTGCAGCTATGCATGGTAGCCAATCAGCTTCTAAGTTCAGCTTGTTCAGTTAAGCTTTGACAAAAAAAAATAAAAAAAACCTGGAAGTTGATTGGTTTCTATGCAGAGCTGCAGCAGATTTTGCACTCTCCAGTTATAGGAAATCAACCCCAGCATTGAGAGTTCATGCTCAAAGGCTTCATAAAGTTCCCAGTGGCTTCTAAATGAAAGTGATTGACTCTTTAATTATACATTTGTTTTCATTTCCACCTACCGCTAATTTCTTGTGAAAAACAATATGTGTGTGTTTTTTTCATTTTTTGCTTACCTTGGGTGTGTTTATCTAGATGACTTGAACACAATAAAATAGTTGAGTTAGATAAAACTCCAGGTGTGTCTTGTGACATGTTGTTTTTTTTTTTTTTTTTTTTTTACATCTCAGTATCGTAGTGCTGGTCCACATCACTTTTAATGCAAAAACGTGAACGTTGCATGTCCTTTATTGCTTTGCCGATAATTCAGCTGAGTATCAAAAGTGATTGATGGACTCCCCTTCTGCTTCACCTTACATAGATCAAAGGTTCATTATTATTTTGTCCTTTCTATGATGGTTCACTTAAAAAAAAAAAAAAAACTTAGATACTTGTGATATACGATATAAAAAATAAACAGTCTTGTTTCGACCTCCTGTAATACCCTGCACAACAGCACTATGAATATGGGAATGGTTTCAGTAGGGCAGCCTTATCAATGTGCTGCGGTTTCTTCATGACCACTCACAAGTTGTGGTGGGTTCTGAACCAGGCTGTATTGCTTAACTCTAGTTTAGTCTGAGAGGTGTCCATAGATTAGCTATGCTGTCTGGCAGGGTACCTGAATCACAAGAATGGATGACCAGACTTCGTAATCATTTGACAGGTGAACATAATTGACATATATGTAATTCAAATGTGTATTCTTCTTGCTTGGATTTCTGCTTTAATTTGCTAGCACTTTTTGACCAGGGTACCAACAAGCCTGTTTCTTCTGATGTCCTCATTGGGACTTCCCTTGCCCACAGCTGGAAACTTACTATAGACAATGACAAGAGCCCTGACACATCTCTCTGGTGCATATTTGCTTCCTCCCATTCTTCTCATTGTGCAGAAATACAAAGGATCGCATGGCTGGTCACACTATGAATATCAGTTGAAGAGTAAAATAATATGAAGGGGATAGTGTTGTCTTATCAGCCTTAGGTGGCTTTGTTTTCTATTGAAAACAAGTATAAGCTTTTAGTATGTGTTCTCTTTTTTTTTATTATTATTATAGGCTTTTAGTGAAGGTTATCTTTCATCGTTTTTTCCAGGGGAGCCTGTATGAATCTTTGTATAGGTTGTGCTGTCATGATACCAAAATGTGCCATTTCTGGAAATTAACAGTTATAGTAACTGACACAAAATTATATCCCTTCCACTCCCAATGTACACACAAATTTATCTGTTAGGACTGCAGTACCCACAGTCTTTTTTTTTTTTTTTTTTTTTTTTTTTCACTATAGATTCTAAAGATCTACATATCTTAGTAGGTAACTGGATTTTTGTCTGTGGCAGTGGTTAAAGGCAGCCAGTTCATTGCTTTCAACCAATTTTCATTCAGTCTCTTTCCCTTAGGACAAATGAGCAATGTATTCACTGAATACACGCTGAGCAGCACCAGTTGTTTCATCAGGGATTTCTTGAACACCATACTTTCAGAAAAGTCTGCTTTCTTAGAAATGATGTCTTTGTTTAAAGTTACCAGAAAGTAAACTGCCTAATAGTCTTTGGCAGTCATTAAAGGGCATCTCCACCTTTAAACTACTGAGTAGCAAGCCATAGTGTAGAGTTGAAATCTTCTAAATGAATATTCTCTGTCTTCTAAACGCAGAACAAATTTGATTGGTCTACTTGGTTGTACCTTAATGTTTCTAACATTTTACATCTTTTCTGATGGCTTTTCATTCTACAGCAGCAGCTCATCATAGAACTGCCAGGGAAGAGCATGGCGACAAATCTAAAAGCAGCTACCGCAGTCGTAGCCCCTTGCGTCAGCAACGTGAAAAACTAGAAGCAGCAGATGGAAGGAAGCAAAGTAAGTTTTATTCATTTTCAGGTTTTAAATCGTACATATGTTCCATACTTTCCACTCTCATACCTGTATACCATATATATGCAGTAATTTAAATGTTGTAATGAATGACAGTGACAAGTTAGATCTCTATGAACAGGACCTTCTTATATGAAGGTGTGAACATATGTTGCATTTCTGACAGCCAGTTGTGAGGGCCCCGAGTTCTTCTGAAAAATGTCAGATGCTGTACTGTCAACTTACTAGTCTCACTCACAGCGTTCCATTGTGTAATGGGTGAAGTCATGTAGTTGTCAAGGAAGGTCTAGACATTCAAATATTAACATATTAACTTAATGAGCAGGAAACACACTTTAACCACTTCTGCGCCACCCTATAGCAGCAGAAACACTGCTACAGGGCGGCACGGGTGCGCAAAGTCATGTGTAAATATACGTGATTTTGCAGTTCCTAGTAGCACGCCCTACCCACACCTCCATTCGTGGCCTTGGCTGTCATTCACCGTACCCAGCCATCTCCCGAGTATTACCGACTGGGGAGAGACCTGTATGTAATCAGTACAGATCTCTCCCCTGTCAGCTCCTGCACACTGCTTTGTATTGACTCTGCATAGCAGAGCCATACAAGGTAGTGTGCTTACAGTGAAACACAGACATGCAGCCCACATAGTAAAACAGCACACAGTTAACCCTTTGACCCAGATGTTAACCCCTTCCTGCCCAGTGCCATTAGTACAGTGTCAGTGCATTTTATTAGGACTGATCACTGTATTGGTGTCACTGGGGATGTCAGTGACACCAAGTCAGTTCCCCCCCAGTGTCAGAATGCCCGCCACAGTCCCGCTATAAGTTGCTGATCGCCGCCATTACTAGTAAAAAGTGAAAAAAATCCAGTATATATGCTGCAATTTGTAAACACTCTAACTTTCACGTAAAACCATTTAATTTACATGTTTTGGGATTTTCTTTTTTAGCAACGTGTAGCAGTATACATTTTGGCCTACATTTATGACGAAATTTGATTTTTACATTTTTTTTTTTTACTGCGTATGTTTAATGGTAAAAAGTCAAAAATATTGTGTTTTTGTTTTTTTTTTTTTCAATTTACTAATCTCACCCACAGCTTTCCATTGTGTAGTGGGTGAAGTCATGTAGTTTGAATTTTTTTTTTTTTTTTCAAAATTGTCAGTCTTTTTTTGTTTATAGTGCAAAACATAAAAAACGCACAGGTGATCAAATACCACCAAAAGAAAGCTCTATTTGTGAGAGAAAAAGGACATAAATTTAATTTGGGGGTAGCTTTGAATGACCGTGCAATTGTCCGTTAAAGTAATGCAGTGCTGTATAGCAAAAAATGGCCTGGTCACGAAAGGGGGGTAAATCCTCTAGAGGGCAAATGGTTAAAAGAAGCCTTGGCTAACCTCTGTAGCAGAAAACACTGTGGAGCAATTTATTCTCTAAGTTCACAAGCAAAGCAGTGAAGTCCTCCAAGCCAGGTCTTGGTCAGCCTTTTCCAGTGCACGCCTGTGTTTACATTAAAGAATAGAAGGCTGCCAAGTCCATGCTAAGAGGGGAAGCAGAATGATGTAATCCAGATGAGAAAAGAATGTTCACAACAAATGTGTTTTGCTGTAAACATTGAGGATGACATCTATATCTGCAGCTACAGAAGACTGAAGCATGGAGCTCATGTACCGCTTTTCAAGAATATGTAAATATTTGAATATCGATAGCCTGACCACAGCTCTGCATAAAGGTGACCTATAAATCCTGATACAGGCTGAAGTGTCAGCTTAAAGCGATACTAAAGGCTTTTTAATTTTTTTTTTTTTTAATAACAAACATGTCATACTCGCTCTTTGCAATGATTTTGCACAAAACCGTCTTAATCCTCCTCTTCTTGGGTCCCCCGCCAGTGCTTCTGGTTCCTCCTGGGTAGTGCCCCCCCCATAGCAAGCTGCTTGCTATGGGGGTACTGGTACGAGCTCGCTCCCGAGCTCCGCCTTTTGCATTTCTTATCACTGGCTTCGATTGACAGCATTGGGAGCCAATGCCTCCCACTGCTATGTCTCTGCCAGTGAAGGGAGAGAGAGACCTGGGAGAGCCGAGTCTCCAGTGCACATCGTTAGACCGAGATCGGACTCAGTATTAGGGGGAGACTTTAGAACCACTTTAAGTATAACTAAATAAAGGGCCAAATATTAACCAAATAATATCAAAATAGTTTATCAATGTTCCAATGTTTCAATGAGGAATGTTCAGCCTTTTGCATAATCCCATATATAACTTTTTTTTTTTTTTTTTTTTTTTTTTTTTTTAAGGCTGTCTGGGACCTATTTTATTTATGGGTGATTGTTTACATTGGCTTTTCTATGGCCATGTTGGTATTCCTAATCATAGTTACAGTAAAGGAAATGAGAGCACACCAACTTTCGGCAGGCCATCGTGTTTTAAAAAGATCAGTAAACCCAGAACTGAATACATCCATTTTTGGTGCATGCCGGAGAGTAAAACTGCCTGACAATTTATTTTTGTCTCTCGGAGTACATCGGTGAGATCTCTTTGCTTTTAGTCTTTAGGCCTGTACATGTCCTGCAGTACTCCCAAGGGGTTTTCCGAGCTCCCTGTTAGATATTTATTATATATTTTTACATTCTTAGGAATAAAACATTAATGGCTAGTTCACATTAGATCCAGTTTTGTTTTTTTTATGCATCAAAAATGCATGCAGTGTTTTCCATGTATTCCAAAGGCCCTAGTCCACACCAGTGTAGCCAGTTTCCAGTGCAGAAAAATAAGCAGAACATGTTGCATTTTTGTCTGCACAGAACTGTACTGGAACATTAGCAAACTGCATCAAACCTCCACAGGAACGGAGTGTGGTATGAACTATAAGCAAAAACATATCTGGAATGCATCCGGAGTGCGATTTTAGGGTGTGAACTGGCCCTAAGAGTAGTTATGCTCAAAGCTGGGTAAAAACACATGAAGATCCATAGAAAAAGACAAGAGAACCTGGAGTTATGTCTGGGAGGTCTCAATCTTCTAACATTTATAAGAAGTAAAAGTAAAAGGGTTACTCATACCACCAAACTGATAAGAGGCATGGAGATCAGCTATGAGGAAAGATTAGAGGAACTGAATTTATTCTCTCTTGAGAAGAGGAGATTAAGGGGGGGATATGATCAACATGTATAAATACATCAGTGGTCAATATAGTGAACTCTTTGTAGAGCTATTCACCCTGAGGTCATCACAGAGGACAAGGGGGACTCTTTACGTCTGGAGGAAAATAAATTTATTCTCCAAACACAGGTTTCTTCACAGTGAGAGCTGTGAAAATGTGGAATAGACTCCCTCAAGAGTTGGTTCTGGCCAGCTCAGTGGATTGCTTTAAAAAAGTCCTGGATTCTTAGATACACAGAATATAACTGGATACTAACATTTATAGGTAAAGGTGATCCAGGGAATATCCGATTGCCTCTTGGGGGATCAGGAAGGAATTAGTTTCCCTGCAGAAGCAAATCGGATCATGCTTTGCTGGGTTTTTTTTTTTTTTTTTTTGCCTTCCTGTGGATCAACTGTGGTATAGGATTATAACTTTTTTTTTTTTTTAATGGTTGAACTGGATGGACTTTTTGTCTTTTTTCAGCCCGACTAACTATGTAACCATTTCCACTTGTAGCTGAAATATCAGACCCTTTCATACTGTTTGACTGAAAGTAATGTTACTTTTTCGATTTCAATCATTTTTATTGAGTTTTAGTTGGAAGACAGTTTCAAGATGCAAATAGACATTCATACCTACAAGCAAAATAGACATGTCTAGTAGTAATGTTCTTATTTTAAGCATGCATCTAGCCCATGACCATTAAAATTCTACCTCAACATTCTGTATCTTGGCACTCTGAAGCAAACTTGTGAAAGCAAAAAAGGATTTATAGTTGAAATCAATAAAACATGATTAACTTTATTTTTTAACTGAATCCTTGTTCACTTCAGTAACCCCCCCTTCCAACAATCAGTGTCTGTAATCTCTTGCCAGTGTTTTATATATTTTCAAGTTTCACTTTTCCTTCCCTCAGTCAAAGAGGATAGACCAGATGTGAGGGATCTTTTGTCTGACTTACAAGATATCAGTGACAGCGAGAGGAAGACCAGTTCTGCGGAATCCTCTTCAGGTACAGAAGCTCTTAATTTATCCACTTCGTTGGAAGCTAGAACTGCATTTGCCAGATAAGCAGGAATGCCAGTTTCTAGATTTTATTCTTGTATATGTTGAAGTGAGATAGCTCAGTGCACAATTATGTCAGGTTTTTGCTGACAGATCATAAAGAGAGCTGTGCTGGAACCAGTGAATACATTTGTGTGTTATCCAGTCACAATCAGTAGGTAAGGATTCCAGGAGGCATAGGAAATTAGATTGTGGGGCGCCAGCTATATCCGATTAACATCAGGGTGAACTTTAGAGGTGGGCTGCACACAAGAAATAGAATCTTGAATAAAATTTTTGTTCAAGCATTTTACAATTTCCTCTGTATGACTCTTTAACAGATCACTGCAAGAAATGAAAACTCATTACTTTCAGGCTGCAGAAGCTTTTGCTTTACCCTACAGTTTAGATAACAAAGAAAAAGAAAGGAAATTGGATACATAAGGTCCCGTTGTCTTCTGCGTTAACCAGCTTTTAGGGCCAGTTCACACCTGAAAATGTGGTGCGGGAAAAGGGTGTTCCATATAGTTTCCTTCACTGTGTTCAAAACCCATCTGCTTCAGGTGCTAATACATTGTTAACGGCATCCCAAACACAGATCACAAACGCCATGCGTATGCAAGCACCAAATTGCAATGCACTGCAATATCATGTTTTTTGGTGCAGTGCATGGACGACTTTTTATGCGTTCAGGTGCAATATTCAGCCCATTCATATGAATGAGGCGCCAAATCACACTGCAGGGGAACGATTCTGGTGTGAACCAGCCCTAACAGTGAAGCCACAAAGACATTGCACAAGACACCAGACTCATAACAAAAAAAACACATTTGTTGTATGTTACAGAGCTATTGAAGCCACTGGTGGTGAGGGTGCCAACTGTGTGCACTGGATCAGGTTAAAAAAAAAAAATCATTTTGTGGTATGATCAGTTCACTTGAGGAAAAGTGCAGGTTGGTAAGAAGACAAGATTACAAAAATTTGCTGCTAACTGGTCTCCATTCCTATGAATGTACTGATGCTAAGTTTTGATAAAAACTCACAAACCCTGTAAATTTAAGTTCCAATTGATGTTCTTTATTTTCAGGAGGCTCTGCTTCAGGGTCTGAGGAAGAAGAGGAAACCAGCTCTGAGGAGTCCGAGGAAGGAGAAGAGGAAGAGGAGGAGGAGGAAGAAGAGGAGGAGGAGGAGGAAGAGGAGGAAACTGGAAGTAACTCAGAAGCAGCCTCAGAGCACAGTGCAGGTAATTGTTAACTAGTGGCAATTGTATTTATAGATAGAAACAAACATATGTCATTCCAGTGCAATCATGTTGCTTTCTGCAGTGAGAACAAGGTTAACGTTACATGCTTAATCTGTAAACTCCGCTCAAATCATCTACTAGGAGTTGGTTATGCTTATCGTACACTAGCATTCGGTTCATAGGATGTTAGCACAGCATAGTGTGGTCTGAGGCACACTGTTACAATCATTGTAAAATAGATCACAGGAATCATTTGCCTTTAAAAGCCTACATGCAGCCAAAATAAAAGAAACAAAAAAGCACAATGGACATAACTCACAGTCAGCAGGATCTGTCCCTTGTTCTGATGCCTCTTCTGTTGGGTGAAATCCTCTGTTCATGCCCCACCATACTTTCTTGCCATAATCTTCCGATATAGTGAAAGAATAGAACTTTGGGAGCTGTCAAGGGCTCTTATCAAGAGTGCCTGACTATGCCCACCCTTTCCATCTGGCTTCTTCATTATAGAAACTACAGCTTCTATGAATGAAACACGGAGTATACTGCAGAGCTACTTTTAACATTCTTAAATGGTTCACCATCTGGCAACACTGCTTCTTTGTTGCATATCTGCAGGTAAACCTCTCAGGATAAAAAAACATAAGTAGCATTGATTTAGTAGTGGACCTAATTGTCCAGTGCTTATCTGTTCCTGTCCTAATTTATGATGCTGGCCAGCTTTTGGAATGTGCGCACATGAAGAAACTGACACGTTTGGTCTGTGAAAACGTCTCTCTAATTTATTGAAATGAAACCGTGAGTTTATATATATGAAAAATGATGCGAACATCACGTGATAACAGCATAAGCATTATATTAGTCTTTGATTGGTCACTTTACACGAAAACAATCTCCGTCATGGTATAGGTGTGATCTTCTTCAGTCTTATCTTAAAAAGAGAAAAACATTCTTTTGTCTTCCAAATCACACGATGGGAGGGGGGAGGGGGTCTGTTCCTGTGAGCAAATATTTCTTAAGCAAGGATTAAAGTACCACAAAGCCCAGCAGGCAGAAAATATTCACACAACATATATATTCATGCTAAACATTTATAAATATGTGGAAAGAAATAGTATTAAAGTATAAAAGTAAATATGTAAAAAGATGTGTATAAAAAAGTGTATATATATATATATATATATATATATATATATATATATATATATATATATATATATATATATATATATATATTCAATAGGAAACGAAATAGACATTTTACCAAATCCATCACAGTCCCCCCTTAAAATGACTATTTTACTCTGTCCCTATAAAACCTAGCTCATCTGTCCTTATGTACCTTGGAACTCTTTTATGCTGTATGTTAGACAAGTGATGACACTTTCATCACCTCCCTTGCCACAGACTTTGTACATAAGGAAGTCAGATGCTATCCCTACAAAATTGTGAGATTACTGTTGGCGGGGAGGGACCGTAATGGGGTGTAAGGTTTTTCTTCATCTATCATATGGGGATCCTCTTGCTCCTGGTTCAGGAAGATAGGTGTACTGTTGTCTACAGCTTTGCTCATCAATTTCCTCACACATGGTATAACACAGCATACAACCAGGGCCAGGAGAATCAGAATTATTAGTACAGTGACCCCTATTTGGGCAAGTATCTTTTGCCACCCACTCATCCAACTGAAATATTGATCCCACGGGTCTGTGATACCTGAATTCTTTTTCAACTCAACTGACAGATCTTCCAATTTCTTTATAGACAGAGTAACCTTACCATTCGAGCCAGTATTGTCAGGAATATATGTACAACATGTTCCGGTTCCTTCTATCATTTTACAGACACCTCCTTTTTCTGCTAAAATCATGTCCAGAGCCATCCTATTCTGGAATGTCATGTAGGATGTAGGGGCTAACTGGTCAACGACTGGTCAACGATTCCTTGAAGGGCATCCCTGGTGTAATTCACAAACCTTTGTTGGTTGTAGTATATGTAATTTATCTAATCTACATTTTTATTAACAGTTATCATGGGAATCAGGGATTCAAAACCTGCTTTACTTGGTCTCTGGCTTTAAATTTATTAGACACCCTCCTTGGGACTCCAATGGCATCTATATACACATGTGGGTCAAAACTACCAGAAGGAGCTTTTCGTTTCCTCCTACGGCCTGGCGTTGGGTCAGGGGTATTCTCTGCTAGGATGTGGAGAGGCATAATGGCCTTTACAAGGGCATACTCACCAGTCCAAATCCCTTCCAATCTTATTCTAATCTTTTGGTCCCCAGTAATTATCCATGACACATATGTATACCTGGTCACTACTATTGGAACATGCTCGTTGTGTCAAGATCATATAGATTATGGTCATAGCACCACATGGGATCTATACTACAGAAATCAAAGGTGTAAATAGGTACATGAGTGTTGGATGAGTTGTACCAAAATATAGTGATGTCACCTATTTCGGTGATATCCACCTGTTGAGCCTCTGTCAGACTTATAAGAAAAAGGATATACAACATAGTTGTCATGGTGTAGATGACGCCTTTCCCTCAGGGTTCGGGACTTTCTTGCAGTGGGAGGCGTGTATCCAAGTGTTCTTCCTGGCCACCTTGTCAGAAGGGGCTGTGGTCAGCAGAACTTGGAATGGACCATCATATCTTGGCTCAAGAGAATGTTTCCTCATAAATGTCTTTACTAATACCCAATCTCCGGGTAATAGGCTGTGAGTTCCTGTATCTGACTCAGAATCTGGAATGGAGAAAACACTTGGACATGGATACGGTTAATTCACGTAATAATACAGTCACATAATCAGTTAACACATCAAATTGTAATTGCAACTGTTGTGGAAAATAACAACCAAATCTGGGGGCTGAGCTTAACAAAATCTCATAAGGGGATAGGGAGTGTTCTCCTCTTGGTGTGTATCTGACACTAAATAGGGCAATAAACAGACTGTCTGGCCAACTCATGCCAGTCTCTTGGGCTACTTTTAGCATTCTTTCTACTTTCCCACTACTTTGGGGGTGATAGGGGGTATGGAACGCCAGAGTGACTCCTAATGCCGCCCATATTTCTTTGGTTACTTAAGCTGTGAAGGCGGGGCCCTGGTCACTCTCTATCACCTCTGGAAGTCCATATCTGCATACAACCTCAGTGGGGAGTTTCTTCGCAGTTGTTTTAGCAGTCATGTTAGTTACAGCAAAGGCCTCTGGCCAACTGGAAAACATGTCCAACACCACTAGGGTGTACTCAACCGCCCACTCTTTGGCATCATCTGGATATGATCAATTTGTATCCTTTGAAAAGGGTATAGGGGTTTGGCCAAGTGTTTCTGTGGTGTCTTCTCTGTGCGTCCCAGATTGCATTTTGCACAGATGGCACATGTTCTGCAAAAAATTGTTCGTCAATGTGGTGATTCCAGGCGCTATATAGTAGTTGTTGATGAGAGAGTTCATGAGGCTCTTTGACAGATGGGCTGCTCCGTGTGCCCACTGGACTACAGCTGGAAACATATTCTTGGGTAAACAAAGCCTCTTGTTGCACTCAAACAAACCATCTTTGAGAATAGCTCCTCTCCGTCCCCAGCTTTCTTTTTCTTCTGGACTTGTTGCTTCTTGGAGTTCCTTGAGGTACCTTCTGTCCACAGGTAAAGTCTGTAAGGTGAATATTGGTTCCCACTCTCCGGTAACCTCTCCTTCCATTTCTGGTGATCCCATGGCCGCTCGTTTTGCCGCCAAATTTGCCAGATTATTGCCTTTGGCTTCTGAGGAGTTTAATTTCCCATGAGCTTTTACCTTCAGAATAGCCACTTGAATGGGTAGAAGGAGTGCTTCCAGCAGTCGTCCAATGGCTACTCCATGTTTTAGGGATGTACCTGCCGCAGTCATAAATCCTCTTGCCTTCCATATGGGTCCAAAGTCATGGGCCACCCCAAAGGCGTATCTGGAGTCTTTGTAGATATTGGCCTTTTTTCCTTCCGCCACCTGGCATGCTGTTGTAAGTGCTTGAAGTTCAGCTCCCTGTGCAGATATTGCAGGCGATAGGGCTCTTGCCTGTAGGACTGTGTCTGCAGTAGTGACCGCAAATCCTGTATAATATTTGCCTCCTTCATCAGCATATCTGGAACCATCAACAAAGAAAGTGAAGTCTGGATCCTGCAGAGGTGTTTCATTCACTGTGGGGAGATGGAAGATTTCCATTTTTCATCACTTCAAGACAATTATGAGGCTCAGTGGCTCCATCATCCTCTCCACTTTCTGCATTACCTTCATTACCCCCTCAGCAATTGGGAGGAGAGTGGCCGGATTCAGGGTTTGGCAACGTAGGAGAGTGACGTTATCAGGAAGTTGGAGGGAACACTGTAGTCTAAGATGCCTCGCTGTGGACAAATGTTTAGGTTGGAGCTTCTTGGACTTGGTTTAAAATGGCAGCAATGTCATGCAGCGCCAGAAGAAAAAGTTCATGTCCCAGTACGATATCAGAGGTCTTATCCAGCAGAGCTTGAGCAGCGAAAACTGCACGCAGACACGACGGTGCTCCTCTAGCCACTGGGTCTAAACGCATGAGTAGTAGCCTACGGGTCGTAGGCGGTCGCCATGGGACTGGGCCAATACTCCTGTGGCATGGCCTTGGCGTTCAGACACGAACAGTTTGAAAGGTTTCTCGTAGTCTGGTAGACCTAGGGCTGGGGCTGAAGAAAGTAAGCGTTTTAGAGCCAAAAAGTTGGAGGCGGCCTCTTCGGACAGATGGAAGGGCTCAGACTTGAGAGCATCGTAGAGTGGTTGCATAAACCAAGAAGCATCAGGAATCCATGACCTACAGTAGGATATGAGGCCAAGAAAGGCATGGAGTGGCTTCTGGCCTAGCGGCAGTGGCAGATTTTGGATGGCCTTAACTCTTTTCTCCGTAAGATGCCTTGTTCCATGTGAGAGGCAGTGGCCCAAGAATACGACTGTTGTAGAGCACCATTGCAACTTCGGTTTAGAAGCCTTA